GTGGTTCCCTCCTGGTCATGCTCTGGCTCAGCAGAGCATCCCAGGGAGGTGAGCTGGAGGTCGCATTGGCCACCAACTTAGAAAAGCACTAGTCTAATATTTTAAGGGCTTTGAGGGGCTGGGGCTGGGGCTAGTGGCAGAGTGCTCGCCTCGCATGTGGAGGGCCCTGGGTTGATCCTCAGCACCATGAAAATAAAATAAAGGTAACGGCCCATCTACACTCAAAAATATTAAAGAAAAATCTTTAAATTAGTACAAAACGTCCATGAGGAACAAAATATCAGAATGCCAAATAAAGACAGGGAGGTGTGGTGGACTTCCCTTGGCTGTGCACCCAGTGTGGCCAGCAGGGCACCAGGAGAGCTCTCAGGGGCTTGGTGTTGAGGGCTGGAGGTGGACGATGGGGCCGCACCTTTCAGGCAGCACGAGACCCCCCACTTTCCAAGTCAGCAAGGCTCAGGGTCCAGCAGAGGTCCTGGTGGGGCCCCTGGGCAGCAGCAGGGACGGGGACAGTCTGAGGGTGTTTAAGGGTATCCACCTGGGGCCAGTGATGGGGCAGACTGTCCCTGCAGGTGGGGACCCTGCTCCCAGGTTAACCCACAAGGAGGCAGCAGCGTCAGGGCTTCCAATGGACACCCAGCCCTACTGCCACTCATCAGCAGCATCTGGAAGAAACACCGACATTTGTCCCTACCAGTGAGCTGGCCTGTCCAGACCGGCCGTGGTGTACATGAGTTCCCTGGTGCTGTCTTCTCCTGATCAGGGTCTGTGTGATTCGTGAAGGGTGCTTTTTCCTTGTTGTGTAGTACTCCACCGCAAAGGTCTCTTATCACTCTCCTGCAGGGAGTAACGGAGTTGATCAGGGCCTAGTCACCATGGATGTTCCAGTTAGAATGTTTCTGTCCACAGTTTTGGTGTACACACACACACCAAGAACTTGAGGCTCCCCGGGGTCAGACAGCCAAGGGAGATGTAGTTTGTGGCCCTAAGCACCCAGATTGGGGTGACTCCCCAGAGGGGCTCTGTGTGACCCAACCCTCGCCTCTGCTTTGAGTCCTGTGGTCCTAGGAACACACAGTGGCTGCCCCCTGCTGGGGCCTGGCCTAAAGTTTCTTTTCTCTTTTAATTTTCAACCTCTCTGTTT